CTTCACGACCCTTTTTGTGTTGTTCCGTACACTATCATGCAGTCTCACCAAGAAATTGTCTGATGCGTCATCACAACACTAGCAAAGCATTCAAGAATTTTCCTTTGATCCGATTATAAAGGAGGAGTTTCGACCGCCTTCACCAACTCCACAGTTTACATTACAGAAATTGAACTTTTATTTTTTGTCTTGAAGAGGTTGGGTGAGCTTGAAGAGAAGGTGAATACTCTTCAAGAAAAGCCATCAGAGATGGCTCATGGGAAAAAAACTGCTCAATGCTACCATTTGTCGAGTTGATGCCCTAGAAGCGGAGTTGATTGCCACCAAAAAGGTATATCCTGTATTTTGCAACAATGAGAATAGCTATATAACAGCAAAATTAATGGAAAACTTGTGTGGGACATATGTTATTGAGTCTGAATAGGATTGACTATTTATTTTACACTCTAATCTTCGTCTTTCCAAAGGTAAATTGAGTGATAGTGGATTGTGTTTCTATTGAGCAGGGTCTGCATGAAGCTTTGACGAGGCAAGAGGAGCTGCTTGCTTATATGGACAATCAAGAAGAATCCAAGTTTCGGGTGAGTTAATTCAATCATTGTTCTCATCGTGAAAAATACAAGTTCAATATTTTTGTATTATGATCATTTTTGCCTGAAGCCTAAAAAGAGTAAAATGTGTTTAAAATTAACCGTTAAGCTTCATGTTTAGCTTTTTGATAAGTTACTTATTAGGAGATTTAATTTCAAACTTGCTTTTTCAAAAAAAAAAAAAGTGTCTACTTTTCAAAAGTCTTTTTATCTTTTCCTTTTGGAGCCAATGACTCAATTTCTCTTTTCCTCGCACACTCAAGTCTTCATTATAAGTTTTTTTTTTTGCCCTTTTTTGCTGTGTCTCCATCCTAGATGGAGGCATGGATAAATATCTCCATCTAAGCTTGGATGGAGGCATTTCTCCATGCCTCCATCTTGAATGGAGGCATGCAAAAATGGCATGGAAAAATGCCTCCATCCAAGCTTGGATGGAGGCAAGGAGAAAATGCCTCCATCCACTACACTTTTCCAAGGATGGAGGCAAGCAGAAGTGCCTCCATCCTGGATGGAGGAGAAAATGCCTCCATCCACTACACTTTTCCAAGGATGGAGGCAAGCAGAAGTGCCTCCATCCTGGATGGAGGTGCCTCCGTGCACTTTTTTTTTATTTTGCCTAAATGGAGGTGCACACACATATGCCTCACGAAGTGGATGGAGAGATATAGGCATGTCTCCATCCATTGGATGGAGAGACCATTTCTCTCCATCAGTCTCCATCCAGTGGATGGAGAGAAATGGTTGGAGACTCCCATGTCTCTCCATCCACTGGATGGAGAGACCACCATTTCTCTCCATCCAGAGGATGGAGACTCCCGTGTCTCCATCCAAGAGCATGTAATGGAGAGACACAAGCGTATCTCCGTCCAAGTATGGAGACACGCCCATGTCCTCCATCCTAGCTAGATGGAAACTTCATGCGCACGGAGAATTTTTTTTCCTTTCCTTTTTTAGCTATTGACATTATAAAACTATGAAATCAAACAAATTGTATAATATTTGTTTTAAAACAAAACAATTCAACATTTTCACCACTTTTTAACGAAAAGCCGATGTTGTAAATTTAATATATTGCTTCCGTGTTTATTTTTTAATTTCTTTTACTCTTCTTACACAGCAAAATTCATCTTCAAGCTCACTGATGTGCTCTCTAATTTCCCTGACATCTTAGTACTTGTTATAAAATTGTCCCTTGCTAATATTAATTGCAATTATATAAAGTTAAATCGAATCTTTTCTGCATTTATGTTATCATTAACATTGTAGTTCAATGGATGTAGGTTATGATTGAAGGTAATTGGATATTATCAGGTTAAAAATATCGAATGAGATACTAATATTATACTTTTGAGCAATTGTGAACAATTTGAAATTGTTTCTACTGGTACAAAAAATTATGAACAAGCTGTTTAAAGAAGGTGTTATAACTAAAGCTGGTGCAGAAAATGATGACATTAACAAGCAAAAAGTTTGCTGAGATTTTTCCTGCTTTGTTTTATTATTTTTGTTATGATCTCTTCTATAACTTGCATTCTTAGTTTCCTAGAGGAAAAATTAACTGTACTTGAATATTTCGAATGTTGACATTACCTTATTTATAGTGCAATCTTCAGAAAAAGATTTCGTCCAAAGTTTGTAGTACTTATGAGTGAAAATATCAAATCAGGAGAATTGGACTATTTGAGGAGATCTTGAAGCTGTATAATTGCAATTAAACCCTGTCGACCTATTTAATCCCTTTTATAACAATATGGGTGACTTTTCTTGCCATTCTCCTTAGTATATGGTCTCTCCTAATCTAATCAATGTCTTTCTAGACCATAATTTAATACGACATATTTAGTGGATGTAATGATATTTGAAACAAACATGCATTTAATAATTACTGGATTACTGCACAATGGAACCAATAAATGTTAATAAGCTCAACAAGGTTTGTAATAAGATCAATGAAAGAGATCACGATACCGAATTGTGATCACTTGGTTATGATATAGCTGTTTGATATTTATTTATGGTAATGCTTGCAGTTTCATTTTTCTCTTGAACTTTTTTTTTTGTGTTTGTTACCGAA